TTCACTTCTTGAAGTTGGGAGTTCAAGTCCGCCGAGACATAGGTGGTGTTAAAAATTAATTTAGGAGTAGATTAGATTTGTCATTCAAAATAAAAGGTTATTATTCTGAAATCATAAACTAATTTATAAACTTTGATATTACTAATCTAAAAACCAGTGACAAATTATTAGCAATCTATAAATAAGAAGATGAAAATAATGAGTGTATAAGGAAGAATTGAGGATGCGGCTACGTTCTTTTATAAATAGGGTTGTGGGTGTAATGGTCCATAATAAAAGCCATGCATGTATTGTTTCAATTTTCTTTCAGAATCTGTTCAATTTGGAAGGATTATATGGATTTAAAACCATTTCCTACACCTCACTTTCCTTCCATCAATTAAACTCGGGAATACGAATTTCCTTCGACATCCCTCACATTCCCTCCATATCCATCTATATAATTCATTAAGTAAAACTCGAGAATAAGACGCAAAAGGCATTCACCATTATGGTCAGCCATGGTTTGTTACAATTTGTTTTTCCATATATGATAACGAAATTAGAGAAGATATGAAACATTATGAAATCTCTAAATATCTCCAAGAGAATTATTACTTAATTTATTTATAATTATACACTAGAATATAAATATATTTATTAATTGAAAAAAAAATAACAATAATGTTCTCATGTCCAAGCACCTCGCCTCCGTCATGTCGAGTTAAAAAGTTGCGGCGCCGAAACATATAAAACAAACCAAGTGCCGAAACTTGTTTACTATTAATATCACGTCGGCTTTGTCCGCTTCTGCCGAAATTACCAAAAAGGCCTTCACCATGTTCGCACATACTAGAAATGACACATGGATATTAATTAAAATTACTTATATATATTTCCACGTTTTCATTTAAAGACATTTTCATTCTAACACCCCTCATTTCTCTCTCCCTTGCCACCTCAACACCCTATATAAACCACCTTCCTTCTTCAACCATATCCAAAAAGACATTTGACATGGGAAGCCTAGGTGATTGGCCCGAACCAGTGGTATGTGTCCAATCTTTATCAGAAAGTGGTGAGCTTGTGATTCCCGGCCAATATATCAAGCCGCAATCAGAGAGACCATCTTTTTGTCTAAAAGAAATGAACATACCAGTTATCGATATGACTGGTTTGATCACTTCACGTGAAGAGACTATGAAGCAAATTTCCGAGGCATGTCGTGAATGGGGCTTTTTCCAATTGGTGAATCATGGTGTGGGGATTGAATTAGTCGATAGGGTTCGGGAAATTTGGAGGGAGTTTTTTCATGAACCTATGGAAGTGAAGCAAAAGTACGCAAACACTCCAAAGACTTATGAAGGGTATGGGAGCAGATTAGGAGTTGAAAAAGGGGCAATTCTTGATTGGAGTGATTACTACTATCTCAACTATCTTCCTCTTTATCATACAAAGTGGCCTGCCCATCCACCTTCCCTAAGGTAACTCGTTTAGATATATTAGAGACTTATATGTTTTTATTTATATTTCATGATTTTGTTTGTACTAAAAATGACTGAGGGTTTAATAACATAGAATTGATTTATTTATTGGATCATTATATATTTTATATTATATTACAAACAAACTCTTAGACATTAGGTTTCATCTAATAGGACAATGAAAGTTTGTTAGAATGAATGAAATTTGATTAATTAAACATAAATAGTACACTTATAATTTGTTAACAAATATCGTGTTTGATTAATCTTGATACCAATATGGATTTTTGTAGGGAAGTGATGGAGGAATATACGAACGAAATACTAAGGTTAGGTGCAGTTTTATTAAAAGTATTTTCGATAAACCTCAGATTAAAAGAAGATGCCCTTCAAAATGCATTTGGTGGCAAAGAAGTCGGGGCCTGCTTGAGAGCAAATTTCTATCCAAAGTGTCCACAACCGGACTTAACCATGGGATTATCTTCTCACTCGGATCCTGGCGGTATGACTTTTCTACTGCCAGATGAGCAGGTCTTCGGACTCCAAATTCGAAAAGACAATCAATGGGTAGCTATTAGACCTGCTCGTCATGCCATTGTTGTAAACATTGGAGATCAACTTCAAGTAATATTCTTTCATCTGATTTATTCTTATTTAGGGTTACATCAATGTCTCCTAAATGATAATTTTATCTGACTCAAGTACATGCGACTCAAATACATGTGACAGGATCTCCAATCAAGTGGGCTTTGTCGGCCAAATGATCGATACCATACTTACCCATGAAAATAATAGAAAGTTTCATTCAAGATAAGTATAAATAAAATAAAAGAATTTGTTGTCCTTTTCAAGGGAATGAATAAAAGATTCAAACCCTTAAGAAGATAAGTCCACATAAGCGAAGAAATAGAATAATGAATTTAATCTTTGTACGCTTTTGTTATTAATTAATTTATTATATACTCATCTAGAATAATTGAAACTGAAAGTCAACTTAAGTCCACAATATCTAATATTATATTTGGTTAATACGGAAGTTTATTCATTTAAAGTGATTCTTTTATTAAAACAAAATACAAAAAAACTTCAGAAATTTAGAACCAACGTCTTTTAACAAAAAAATTGGTTATTCGACATGAAAGTAGTTTTAGTAATAAAATTTGTTCACAAAAATATCTGTCGATAAACATATTTAAATAATCGTGTGTTTTATGGTCAGAATGAGGTTAGGCTTTAATTTGTAAGCCAAAACGGTATAAAAATATTAAAGTTCTTGTGTTTGATATTGTAGGTTCTAAGCAATTCAATATATAAAAGCGTGGAGCACCGGGTAGTAGCGAACCCAGACAAAGAACGACTCTCTTTGGCTTATTTCTATAATCCAAAAAATGATATTCTTATTCAACCAACATCTGAGCTTATCACATTGACAACACCTGCCCTTTATCCACCGATGACGTTTGAAGAATACAGACGTTTCATACGAACCAAGGGTCCACGAGGCAAATTTCAAGTCGAGTCATTAAAATCCCAAAGATAGCATGTATGTATCATGTATGTCATCTTGAGCTTATTATAACAAGGTTACTTACAGCTTATAATATTGTTATATATTAGTTGATAGTGGCAATATACGCTACAATGTGCAAAATAAGATGTAGATGTATAATAAAGTTGTATACCATCAACTGTAGTTGTGTAAATTTAATTGAAAGTTATTAAATTATGTTATATAATATGTACTTTTTTCCAAAATATGTTCTAGATTCTTATTATACTATAGATATTTGTTTTTCTAAAATTAAAGTAATAATGGAGATGTGAATAAAGTTTTTTTTAACAAGTTAGAATTTTTTGTTAACCAAACTATCAAGAAGGTAGACAAAGAGGATAACTACAAGAAATTGCATTAACCAGATTTTGGAGCCAAGTTGTCTAGTTGACCAACACATTTTCTATGCCTATTGTAGAGATAGATTAAATGAACCACACATAATCTCGTGTGAGATAATGTATTTATATAATGAATAAGTACAAGCTAATCTTCTGATATCAAGAGGAGATAAGGTACAAGATAAATACAACATTTGACATATAATAAATATATATCGAGATTATCTAATATCCCCCCTCAAGCGAATGGGTGGTGGACCAAGACGAAACATGAATCGAAAGTGCTCAATCTGAGATCGTGGAAGGCTCTTGGTATTGATGTCCGCCAGTTGAAGCTTGGTAAGAATGAACTTGGTGTTGAGTTTTTCAGAAGCAACGAGTTCACAAACAAAATGATAGTCGAGATCAATATGCTTAGCACGCTTGTGAGCTATCGGATTTTGAGACCAAAACAAGGCACTTTTGTTGTCACATAGTAGAGTTGGCCTATCAGGTTGTAACACATGAAGTTTTTGAAGAAGATGGGTGATCCAAACAATTTCAACAGCGGTGTTGGCCATTGCACGATACTCTTATTCACAACTAGAACGAGAAATGGTAGGTTGCTTCTTTGCACTCCACGAAACCAATTTACCACCTAAAAAGATAGAGTAACCATAAGTGGAACGCCTCCTTTCAATTCATCGATCCCAGTCAGCATCTGAGTAGCCAAGAATAGTATTGGTATGTGGACGACGAAGGATACGACCGGAAGAAAGAGTACCTTTATCATATCGTAAGATATGTTTCACATATTGAAAGTGAGAGTCAGTTGGAGCATGCAAAAACTGACTTGCCTAGTTAACATCATACGATAAGTCTGGTCTTGTGATAGTCAAATATTGAAGGGCCCCAACTAGTGAACGATAGAGAGTATGATCTAAGAATGGAGAACCTTCAGATAGAAACAAGTCATTAGACACCAAAGGAGTGGAAACCTGGTTGGAGTCTAGGAGGTCAGCTCTTGTAAGCACATCGGTAGCATACTTTGATTGACTTAGAAAAATATTGCCATTTGTATAAGATACGTCAAATCCCAAGAAGTAACTTAAGTTGCCAAGGTCTTTGAAAGCAAACTCTTGATTCAGTCGAGTGGTGAATGAAGTGATAAGCATCTCTTTGTTTCCAGTTAGGATTAAATCATCAACATAGACCAGTAAGTACATAATAATAGAATGTTCAGAGAACAATAAAAGCGAAGTGTCAGCACGACTGCATTTGAATCCATAGGCAACCAAAAAAGAGCTTAATCAATGAAACCAGACACGTGGGGCTTACTTTAAGCCATAGAGGGCTTTTGAGAGTCTGCACACGTGATTAGGAAACTCTGAGTCAACAAAACCTGGTGGTTTCTCCATAAAGACTGTCTCATTTAGCTGACCATGCAAGAAGGCATTTTGTACATCTAACTGGTGAAGATGCCATTTATGTAATACCGCAAGTGAGAGAACAATACGAACAATGGTTGCTTTAACCACTGGGCTGGAAGTTTGTGAGTAATCCAGACCTGAAATTTGAGTGAAGCCTTGAGCTACAAGTCAAGCTTTAAAACGTTCCACCATTCCATCACTTTTAAATTTGGTGCGATATACCCATTTAGACCCAACAACATTTGCTGAATAGGGTCGTGGGACAAGTGTTTATGTACGATTTTGGGTGAGAGCCTCCATCTCATCACACATAGCTGCCATCCAATGAGGGTGCTTATCGTCCGACTTGTATCCTTTGGGAGGAACATCTGAGAAAAGTTCAACATGTAATGCATGAGATACAAAAGATAGAAAATCATGAGTATTTTTTTCATAACAATGCCTGGTTTCGAACGAGTTTGCATTGGATGAGTCGAAACAGGTTCAGTTGGAGAAGATGACACAGGGGAAGGAGAGGAAGGCAGCTCATCGATGGCTGGAGATGGAGGTGAGACATCTGGGTTGTTACTAGATTATGTTACCGTCAAGGAAGGCCCCTAGGAAGTGTATAGACAGAGTCCACATGGAGGAGAAAGCCTAGTTTGCATTGGGCTGATTTGGCGTGTTCTGGGAGGTTGAGACAACAAGATGTAACCCATCATCTAGAAAAGAAGTAAGTTCAGTTGTGGAGATAGACATAGGAATGGTAGTAGTCGAAAAAGGAAATGTGGATTCATCCAATCTCGCATGACGGGTGATGTATATATGAGAGCTTTCTGGGTCAAGGCATTTATATCCTTTATATTGATTATTATACCCAATAAAAATGCAAGGTATACTTCGAGGAGCCAATTTGTGAGAAGAGTAATTCCGAAGGTATGGGTACACGAGGCAGCCAAATGCTCGAAAGTTGGTGTAAGTTGGAAGCCTCAAAAGGTATGGGTACACGGGTTTAATCCACCGTCCCTTCTAATTCAAACTTTCTACCAATTAAACAACTTCAGTCCCTCCTTCCCATTCTTTTTCAAACTAATCCCTTATTTTACCCTTTATCCCTTGCTTTCAAAAAAAACTATTCAATACAAGTCCATATGATACCGCTTAACCCTTAACATCCAGAAATTATAACTTTTATCTCCCATGGCTAACACTGATACTTTATCACGGAGTTAGGGCTAAAATAAAATGAAATATAAAATACATCTCGGGGTTTTAGGGCTTATTATTTATTCATCTATTTTATTTTATTTTATTTATTTTATTTATTTTATTTTAAACAGAATGTTACAATTCCCCCCCACTTAAATTAGATTTCGTCCTCGAAATCAACTCTCGCTTCTACTTCAAGATGCACTCCCCCACAACAACCAAGATGAACGAATACTGCAGAATCAATCGGTCTCCGAGCTTCTCGGCCAAAACGCCGACGCTCTAATCCCGCCCAAAAAGGGCATCACCACAATGAAAACTAACTTATCTTATGTTGAACTGGACCACACTCTTACTTTGCTCCGACAATCCAGCTGAGCTATCCACTATGAACACTGGGGCTCACCCCCCGATCAAATGATAATAGACAAGCAACCCTCAACCTGAGCTCCTAACACCTTAGGGCCTAAGCACAAGCACGCCCTACAGATGCTATCACAACTAAGACAATTATGAATCGAGGGAAGGTCCAATAACTGACGATGATCTCGTCGCGAAATCCAAAGATTTAGCAATTGCGCCAAAACTTGGAACTTAGAGAAATCTGAAAGAGAACTGAATATTGGCTAAAAGTCTTCCTGCTGCGAGGTTCTACTCTCCCCGCTTGAAATATGCTAGAAACTGATAACTTCGTAGTCCTTCGATATCCAGACTAACTTGAGCTCTACCACTTGATCCCAACTACCGATATCCACATACACATGAGAATCTGAACCCACATAACATTCATACATTCCATCTCGCATACAATCAAGGACAAAGATAATTATCCCATACATAACAAGAGATCAATTTAAACAAAGATAAATAAAACAATTCCATTTAACTGGTCATCCGAAATTTCAACTGAACCTTGAATCACATACAGAAATGACAGATAAATACCAATACTACCATAATTGCTAAATAGATGAACTGCCAACTCAAAACTCGGTCCTCGGGACCCCGGAGGTCCCCTGACGACCGTCGGGTAACTGCCAAGCTAAGGGCGGAGGATCCAGCACCTCGCTGAGAAAAGGACAATGAGCTCTAATGTGGCCTTGCTGACCGCAGTAAAAACAAACTCACACACTCCGCCTGCAGTCCCTTCGAAAATGATCCTCCTCGCCACACCGACAACATGCAACAGATCTGCGCCTCCCTCCAACTGATCCCGAACTCTGGCCGGCGGACTTGAACCGCTTCACTGCAGGTTGAGACTGATCCGGAGCCTGAGACTTCTCCCTCACCTGGGTCTCTCTCAATCTCTCGCCTCCACGCGGTATCCTGAATCTCAGTGAGAGAACCACAGCGCTGGATGGATACGAACTGTCGAATATCCGTCTTGAGCATTGAAAGGACCCAC